CCCAAATATTAGCGATTAACATTAACTATTTTATTAAATTACGACTTGAGCTAAAACCGATTTATACACGACACTTCAGCTGGGGTCAGTCAGTTTGATGGTAATATACTCATAAAATAATCAATGGCGGCGTCGATATCTTGAAATGAGAACAGACGTAACCCATAAAATTGTTACTGTCAATCAGATAGGATGTCCTTTAGTACAGTCTGAACTCGACATTTCTATGAATCCATTTCTTAAAAATTTAACAACCATAGACCATGTTCCGTTTATATCGTCTGCCGAGGATGCCGAATGGTGTGGTTTGCAAGGAATTACGAAAAGAAACCTTTCGAGTCCTTTGAAGCTGTAAATTAAGAGTGATGGGAAGTTTTAAAAGTGTATTTATATTAAAATGCCACAATGATCACGAAGTCATTCGTTTTTTCAGATCTCCACGGAGTTTAAACGATAATGTCGAACGTTATATCATTTGTGTTAAAAGGTGTTCGTGATAACAAATTAAACATTTCCAGCCATTCCAAATTAAACAGTTTTTTTTCACGAGCATATTCTTTCTAATCAAAGCAAATCAAATCAAAGGATTGCATTGGAGGCAAAGCGTACACAATCCGTGCATGAATTTGTGAGCGAAAAAAGACAACCCTGCTCTTGTATAAAATATTTTTGTGATGAATAATGAGATAAGAGTAACGCGTAATTTAAGAATTGACGCTTTTTAAGACTGTTGGTGATTTGCGGCACGTTATGTAAATATTGCCAACAATTTCGTGGAATGTCAAATTGACTATTTGAACTGGGCCGGTGGTAGCAATTCATGATTGATTTGGGGGTGTTGGGGGGGGGGGGGGGGTAGATTGCCAGAAACGCTTTCTGAGTGAGAGACGCTTTCTGAGCGATTTCCGGCTAATAAAATTACACAGCTTGGAAGTGAAATTTTATTTCTTTTCTAAATCCCTTACCATGCAAACAAATTCGATGGTAGTTTCCTGCGATACCGAACTTGAAAAATATATGTATAATAATGCCAAGGTTATGGACACTCTAGAGGTCACAATTTGTATACGATTTTGATAAAACTGACAATGTATGTTTATAACCGAAAGATGTCAGTTTCTTCCTATATATACATTTTTAGCATGTGGACTCTCTATATAGAGCTCACAGTTTTTTTTTATACGCCCAAATTTTCATGTGGACGTATATTGTCGTCACCCTTGCCCGTCCGTGTGTCCGTCCGTCCGTCGGTCTAGGGTCATGAGACGAAGAAGCCTGTTGATTTTCAGTGATTTCCGACAATTACTGCCAATTACTGATCACTTAAAAAATTCTTGTGGACGCTCTAGAGACTAAGGTTAATATCCAATTGACTTTAAATTTATACACACTGTTTAAGGTCATAAGACGAAGAATCCTATGGCCCTTGATTACTTCAAAAAATCTTGTGGGTGCTCTAGAGGCCCGAGTCAATATCCGATTGACTTTAAATTTATACACAGTGTTTAAGGTCATGAGACGAAGAACCCTATTGATTTCAAGCGATTTTCGATAATTACTGCCAGAGTTATGGCCCTTGGTCACTTTGAAAAATCTTGTGCTCGCTCTAGAGGCTAAAGTTAATATCCGATTGACTTTAAATTTATACACAGTGTTTAAGGTCATGAGACGAAGAATTATATTGATTTTTTTTCAGCGATTTCCGATAATTACTGCCAGAGTTATGGCCCTTGATCACTTTGAAAAATCTTGTGGACGTTGTAGAGGCTAAAGTTAATATCCGATTGACTTTAAATTTATACACAGTCCGGAGACGAATATGACCTTTGATTTTTACACAGTGTTTAAGGTTACGAGACGAAGAAGCCTAGTGATTTTCAATGATATCCGATAATTACGACCAGAGTTATGGCCCTTGATCACTTTGAAATACCTTGTGATGCTCTAGAGACTTATGTTATCATCCGATTAACTTCAGATTGATACACAGAGTTTAAGGTCTTGAGACGAACAATTAGTATATTGATTTTCAATGAATTTTGATAACTTGAACAGCTAAATCCATGAAATTAAATGTTTCGTATGCTAATTAGTAAACGTTAGCATGGGACAGAACTTTATAAAAACCAAACAAATTCTAATGGTTTTCTGATAATTACTTAATAAGTTGTTATTCTTAATCAGATTTTAGTGTATTATAAATGTTTCATTACTGAAAAAAGTAAAAAAATGCGACAACTCTTATTGACTGTCCGGATGATTCAGCTACAGTGGGCGTATGTTTCGTTGCCTGGCAAACTATCTTTTTATTAACACGAAATAAAATTTATTGAAGACCGGGGCCCTTATTCACGAAAACTTAAACTAAGATACAATCGAAATTTTACGAAATACTGCAATTCGATTGGCTGACCAGTAAAATCAATTTGCATATATCCAATGAAGTTGCAGTATTTCTTAAAATTTCGGTTGTAACTTAGTTTAAGTTTTCGTGAATTAGGGCCCTGTACATATAGTGTTCATAAAATCATGTTGAACGGGCGCACGAAGAGACAGGAATGACATCAGTACACTACCGCATGATTTCGCTAGTCTCAAATTGGTGCAAACGAAATGAAATGAGGTTTAACGCCCTACTGTTCTGCTCCGACTGGACTAATGAAGACTGGCATACACCATACAGTGTGCTATGAGGCAAAGTTTGCCCAGACAGCGGCGCTACTTTCTTTTCTTATATCGAATTGCTACTGCCAAGGGATCTTTTACATGCACGCCAATGTGTTCACGGGACCTCGGTTTTGTTGTCCCTCGCCAGGCTCCCTGTCCTTTACAACTGTATCACTGACACGAGGGAACCATGCCGGAAAAGCTAGATAACTTTCTCGGTCGACAACGAGTCTTACTCACTCAGCCACCGCCCCTCCCCTCCCCCTCAAATTGATGCATGGCACTTTGAACATTTCGACCACAGTCGTGATATAAAAAAACTGATTCATGCAAAGTGTGCCCTCACACAACGACTATAAAACATAACTTTTAGTCGTTTGAATGGAATGAAAAGCCGACGTCGAGTGTGTGCCATTGGCAGCATGTTACATAATCCGTATATAGTGTCGATGTCCTGGTAAAATTTTCCTCAGAGCACGCTGCTCGACGTATGAGTGTCTTCATTAGACCGGTTGGTTTAGAAAAGTAAGACGTTAAACCCTATTTCATTTCATTTGCATCAGACCTAATATTCCTTTTCTTTGCATTTGGCATGAGAAATGTCTACCAATTTTAATGGCTTCAGAAGGCATTACATTGAATCTCAGCTGACTTATCTGTCAATCAAAACCCTGCCATGCATAAACAGAAGGAATTCAAAGCTGCTCTATACGTCACCAATATACGTCGCCATCTTTAAGTCGTGAATATCTGGTATGAAATTACAAGAAACTGTTTTCTTTTTCCTTCAGATTTCTTAGAACTTTACTTTACTCTTAGCAGAATGTGGCTTGCTCTTTCAATAAACGTGATGGCTATTGTCCGTGCTCGAAAGTCCTTGTTAATCAGCAATCAACGTTACCCTACGTTCGACCGCAATGTTTATTCGTAATAAAATACATAACTGATTCCATAGTGATTTTATTGCTACTTCCGGAAACTCAATAGGTCCAAATCAAAGTACTTCACAGTATCCAAAACATTATGTTTGCCTTACAGAAATGTAAATCGGCAAATATTTTTTATAAAAATGCATCCACCGCCGTATTGGTCAAATGTTATATTTTGAGCCAGAATCCAATATTGCAGACCAACCAAGCTCCAGGGCCCGTGTTAGGCTCATCAAGTTTTTATTGACAATACAAGGGGCAGGGTAATCTGCGCCAACTGGGCCCTGTTTCTCGAAATCTTAACTAAAGTTAAAATCCAAATTTTAGTAGATACTTCAATTTTGATTGGCTAAGCACTAAAATCAATCTAGTATTATCCAATCAAATTACTAAAATTTGGATTTTATCTTAGTTAAAATTTCGTGAAACAGGCCCCTGGTCAGAGAATTACCACGATTATACTGTATGGTCTGTCGTCGATTTTGGTCTAACAAAGATTATATTGAGATATATTTAAATCTGAAGTGTTTGTGAAACGACACAAGGGCATTATTATCATTTTTAGGTCATAAAATACTATTACATCCATATTGTCTAGATTCTGTATAATTTGTAGGCCCCTATTTATACGCATATAAAAGATTAAAATTATTCTATTTATTCTGTCCAAATTGTACAGAGTACAATAGAAAGCAATTTCCCGAGCAAAATTTTCGTTTTTAGACTCAAAGTTATAAACATGTACTCGAATGAACGTTCCGGAATTGAATTCTCTCAATCACAAAAATAGTGACAATCGTGTGAAAAGGTGGATTTCAGGCTACAGCGCATGCGTCAACTGAATAAGTAAATATCTTAACCAACCATGCGGCCGAAGCATATTCGTTGTGTTTAATTAAGTCACGATTCTACTCACACTGTCGGGACTGACAGAACTGTGACAGAACTGAATTCCGCGTTACTCGATTGCAATTCTGTCAATTCGGGACGTTCTGGACTGTGAATCCAGCATCTCCAATATGTATATGAAGGGAGACAATCAATTATTTTCGAATAATTTACTGTTGATCGGTAATAAAATATTACGAACTGTTTAGAAACTGTTTGGATAGGATGCTTTATCTTCTTGGAATTTATGACCTTTGGATTTGACTGCTTATTGGGAATGATGATATAATATTTTAATGATTTAGCTAAAAAATAAAATACTCAATTGGGTTGATCTATGATGTGTTATTTCTATTCGTGACGGGGTTGCTAATTTTTTATTTCAGGTTTAGCTTACTCTGTCAACTGAAGAACACAAATTCATTATATTATATCTTAACACTGGATTTACCCATAGACGCAACATTTTCAGCGAAGGCAGATCCTCATCAATAATACTAATCAACATATAAAAACAAAAGAAATGAAGAATTTTATTTTTTTACTCTAGTCATTTTTATATTTTATTAATTAGATAACGTAACACGAACTTGTGTGATCGTAACTTGAGCACAGGTGTATATTAAATAATAATACATGATATTTAATATACAGTAATATTGATACGTTTAATTAAAAAATCTACAATAAAGAAAATGTCATGTTTGATGACGTCAGTGATAACTATATGAAATGATATTTTATGGCATCTTAACATACTTAATCATGATCCTTTATCATGGTGATCGTTAATCATAATATATTTTATGGATTCTTGTCACGGAGATTCCGAGGGTTACTTAGCTGTGTTGTCGGGTCATCGATCCCCGTTCTGGGATTTCCACCTCCATCATTCCAAAAGGTCCATAAGCAAAATTAGCAGACATTTATATCCAGGCGTGAATATTTGTGTGGCGGGGTTCACTCCACCCACTTTTCAATACAATAGGAACGCCTCTCTGGATTAACACTGTTTACAAAATTATCCTAATATCTTCCTCGTCAATTTATTTCTCAATTCTGTATTAGCTTGCAATACCCTTATTCTTGTTTTATTACGCATTTTAGTCAACTTTGCCGTTATTTTCTTCTCGAAAAAATTACCAGAAAAGGTAATTTAGCGAACGGCAAATTCATTAACAGAACACGGTTTTTATGGGATACAATCACAGTTTTATTCTAAAAATTTGAGGTCAGTATATTATATGAAATTCATAGATGCAGAGACAGATGCAGAGACAGTAACATTGTGCCACAAGGATTAAAACTTAAGGGTCCAGTTAAAAATCCTTTACCCTTTTGATTCTTTTTGTCACTGTTATTTAATCTATGTAAATGGTTTCACTATCAATTTCATTATATTGACTTCAAGTTTACTAAATGTCATTGTGCTTGATAATGATAAGAATAAAACTACTGATTGTATTCCATAAAAACTGTGTTCTTTGAATGGAATGGAGTTTACATCTAGATCCACGCGAGGTTCTAACTGGTTCAGTCTTTTAACCACCCAAGCTCTCTCCCCTCCCAATAGTCATGTGATTATTTGTGATTATATGATGATGTGATTACATATATATGAACTACAGTCTATGGACATTTTCATCAAGCACAATTATAACGGTGATGCGGTCATGTCTCTGTGGAATCAGTACAGGCGTGATGATCGAATTATCTGCCCCTGCTTCCAATATGGTAGTCGAAAAAACTGACTTCTTGGCAACTTATAAACTTCTATAAAATCACAGTCTGACAAATGATCCTAAAAAAAACAACGAAATGATTAGTGTGGTAGACTAAACCTTTTAACGATGTACCTACGGGGGAAGGGGTGGGGATTGCGGTTCGATGTTGGGGTGTCGTTATGCTTTGATTAATCTTTTGTGACTAAAAATATATTATATGACATTGTTCATTGCTGTATGTCTTTTCCATGTAAGATGTTGCTCTATGCGGCACTTGGTAAACACAAAAGTACAAAAGAAATTGGGTAAGCACAAAAGTACAATGGAAATTCTAGCTCTCTGAACATTCCGCACAGAATCACGGTGGCTGAGTAAGACGCTGGATCACTAGCCTAGAGGTCTCGGGTTCGCTCCCGGTATGGGCCAAGAGAGTTCAACGGGATTTACCGGCGTCAGTGGTGCAGGACGGAAGGCCTGACAAGGACAGCTGTCTAGTCATTCAGATGGGACGAAAACCCGAGGTCTCGTGTCGTGCTCGTAGGCCATAGGCGTAGGCCATAGCGCCGCTGTCCGGGCAAAATTCCTCTCATAGCCCGTCTTCATTAGCCAGTCGGAGCAGAACAGTAGGCCGTTAAACCCCATTTCATTTAGAACCTTCCGCACAATTATTAAGTAGCATCAGGAGTTCTATACAAAGTGTGATAGAAAATATCTTCTTCATACCGAATGGTTAGCGCGTGCGCGTTGAATCGTAAGGGCTGTCATTGAGTCAATTCCCCGGTTGTATTTGACAAGGAGTAGGGTGGCCTGTCCAACATCGTGGGTTTTCTCCGGAGTATCCGGTTTCCTCCCATTGCTAAAGATCCCTAGCACAAGCGAATTATTGAAATAAAATTGAACCTTTTGTTAGTCCCGAAATGACCTAGTTTGTGTGGAGTGGGCGTTAAACCCCATTTCTCTCTCTCTCTCTTCTTCATACTATCCAAAAAATAAATATACGGAATCTGAAAAAGTTTACTGATGTTGCAGCAGGACTATCCAATATAAATATATTGGGCGTTTTCCAAAATCATCTAGTTAAATTAGCAAAAAATCAGGAGTGAAATGCCTGTGTTATTTGTCATAATATATTTTATAAATTGATCAGGTGTTTTACCTGTTTATTACTTGGATCAACATCATTAGGTAGTTCTGGTTTAATTAATATAAATGGGTCGTATTTCGGTTTGCTGACATGTTCCAAATCATCAATCTAAAATGAAGATATAATTAATCAATCATGAACATATCTGATTCAATTTATACTCATTTTATCACATTTTCATAAGCAACTATGTGTGAGTAATTCCCTGTTGTGAAATAAGTCGTCAGAATGCTAAAATAACTGCGTGCAATCCCTTATTGTCAGCTATCTCTGTGCAGTCCAGCATTGGTGTAATCTCCCATCGTCAAACACTCCAGCGTAATATAAAGATATTCTCCTTGATATTTATTAACGTTAAACTTCTCAATGTAAAATAATAATAGCTATATTAAATAGGCCATACATGTTCTTCAGCCCCTTGAACCCCATTCATTTAGGAATAAAATATTTTTGATATAAAACAAGAGAACTATATGAAATAATTATAGAATAACTAATACACATCACTAGAAAAATTATGTTTAATCCTTTACAGTAGAATAACTATGTGTAATCCTTTACAGTAGAATCACTATGTATAATCCTTTGCTGTAAAATAACTGTGTAACCATTTTTACTTGCGTCCCAATATATACACGGAACCTCGGTTTTTTGTCCCATCCGAACGTCAAGATGTCTTCCCTTGCCTTCTCCTCTGACTTGCTCACATCAATGCAAAATAAGTATGAAAAGTACAACATAGAATTTACAAGTGTGCATCTGTTAATATATGTTTATCTTTCTGACTGATTTATACTATATTATACTTACATCTACATGTATATGTATAATAGCGTTTTCTTGTCTCACTTTCTTTCTCCACAAGTCATAATTATCTTTACCCTAAAATATTACAGGAACTATATTATAGTAGAATAAAAGGTAAGATCATACACAATAAATAGTAGTTTTACCAACAAGCATATTGGTCCAAAAATTATTCAAAGCAACCTATCAATCCCAACGGAATAAGTTTTACTGATTTCATGCTGCAATCTTTATTGTCTTACAATTTACAATTATTTGTTTGACGTCTAATTATAACTCGTTTTAATCCATAAAATTGCTATCGGAAGAACATTTTGTGGTCTTTATTTATGTTACATTTAATATGTAGAATGCTTACTTACCCCGTAACCATAGTGATTCCAGTTATTAAAACATTGTGTAAAATTTGTTGGTTCTGAATGTTGATTAATAAACCACATCTCTATATCTTCTTGTTTTCTACCAGCAACATCATTACTGACATAATCCTATAGTTAAAATAAATATATAAAACTTGCAAGCCCCCTTTTCTATCTTTTGGGGAGTTTCAAACTAAAATACTGACAGTCTGTAAATCTAGTTTCTGGAAAAATTGATCCGGTAGAATTAAAGGCCCATTGCAAAATATTACTGCAGTGTTGAACGATAGTAAAAAAAAGCTGACGTTGTGAGTTGTCAATGTCCTATTAATGGCATGTCGAGACATCGCAGTGGCATCGTAAGTAAGGATCCAGCGTCAAGGTTACTTTACCAACGAAATGAAATGAAATTGGGTTTAACGTAAATTATTGTTTTGCTCTGACTTGGCTAATGAAGACGGAAGACGGGCATACACCATACAGTGTGCTATGAGGCAGATTTTGCCTGGACAGCGGCGCTACGGCCTACTTTTATATCGAAATCCAACTGCCACGTGTTCTTTTACGTGCATGCAAATGTGTTCAAAGGACCTCGGTTTTACGTCCCATCCGAACAACTATACGTCCTGGCCTCTGTCCTGCACCACTGACACGTCGGAATCATGTCGGAGAATCCCAATGAACTTCCTTGGCCAACCCCGGGATCGAACAGGGGACCTCCAGGTTAGCGAGCCAACGTCTTACTCACTGAGCCACCACGGCTCCGAATTTTATCAACTCTTGTTGCATCATGAGGTATACTAACCAACAATAATTGTGGTATTTTCTGTTTGATATCTTGTTTTACTGCTGAACCACACCATACCATAATCTATATAATATAAATAATTGATCTTAAAAATGAAATATTTGGAAATATAGTTTTGTCAGGATATTAGGCTGCATTTCTACATAATAGGTCGGGAAGGACGAAACAGTGAGATCGATGTAACACGGACCTTATAAGAAATTAGAGACTTTTGGCAAGTGTAAATTCTTGGTCCGTATCGCGCATCCGTATGGATTTTGTGTGTGACGTCATCAATGTGTGTGTGTATTTCTCATACGTGATACGGCATACGGATACGTTAGCACGTATCGATCAGATTTCATACGGAAAAGGTCCATATAACATTGTCGTCATTTTACCGTATTTTTTGGCTATTTTTAGACGCTAAAATTTTGTATCAGGGCGTTTTTTATGAATCTACACACGAAGGTGTATATTTTGTGTAGTTTTAACCATTTTAAAGACTGGGGTTTAATCATAATTTTTGATGGTTTTTTCTCGGGATTTTCATACTTTTCGTGTCTGTCTGCATACTGGTTGATCTACTTGCTAAATTTAAGGAGGTGGGACCTTGCAAATGTAAACCTTCTGAAATGATACATTAGTGAAACCAAAAATTGCTGTTGGGTCGAAGTCGAAAATTTTTTAATAAGATTCGACATAAATTTTTTTGAGCGACTTCGCTCCCAACGGGAGATTGTAGGCTAGGCACTTGACTAGTACTGATGGAGATCTTGGTAGATATCTGCCATCCTTCATGCTTTAATAGAACAAAGCTCAGCTCAGCTATGCATACGCAGGCGACGCGAAAATCTACCAAAACTCAAAACTGCATTGGCGTAACGTATCACGTATACTGCACGGATACGTGATACGGATGGGAAAAATTCCGCTTGCCAAAAGTCTCTAATATAAGGTCCATGGACGTACGTAGACAATAAATGAAATGAAATGAAATGGGGTTTAACGTCCTACTGTTTTGCTCCGAACTGGGCACGTAGACAATAATCATTGATACTTACAATTCTGACAGAAACGTCGCTGTCTGGCCAAAATTCCTGTCCACCGCTAAGCACACCTGTCCATATTATATAAGGAGATCACTGTATGTTCGTCTCAAAATGACATACGTAAAAATATCAACCGAACGATAAACCCTAATGCCATTTTTTTAAAACAACTGCAGAATCAGGGGATGTAACTCTATTTTATGGACAAGAATTATTCAAATTTTACCTGATTAAACAAATCCATGAGATAAACACCATCCTCTGTTAAATCCTGCGGATTATATATAAAAATAAACATTAAAAAGAATCTGAAACTGCGCATAATTTTATTTTACAATAACGGGAGAAATAATGTACACTAGATAATTTACCGCGAACAAGCCATATCGTCTGCTAGTTATCCCGATAAGAACTCTCCGACGAATCACTACAGCAAATAAAAGAACAGTTCTCCTTTGTGTCTTAAACATTCTTAAACATTTAAGTAATAAATGCTGTTAGTTAAAAGTGTTGTCATATTATTAATACCGGTAGATATATCCGACACACCTACTTCACAAACAGTAAAATAAAACAGTTGTATAGAAGGTATATATACTAACCATCTGTGTAAAAGTGGGTATATCTAACATAAATTGGTCCGACTGGCTTATAAAACAATACACTAATCTGGGCTTTCTTTGTTCCAAACTTTTGACTACTGGTTCATCTAGATTCTCATTTTTACCACCAAGAAGATCCCAGAATAGTGCTGTTTCTTTTCCTTCTAACATCACTTCATAAGTATACATCCTGACACAAAGACAATACACACAACCTATAATCCTTTGTCAATCATGTTATCGTATGTCTTTAAGATTTAGGGTGTATTACTGTGGAAATGGTAAACACAGCGTGAAGTCAAACACGGCATCGACCAAGGTCGTGCTATTACATTTACTGAATTGTTTTGTTGTGGTAAGCGCCCCTACCAGATACTTTTAAGGAACATCGAAATGTATATAATAATTGTTTACGCGAGTATGCAAACTGATCTATAAGCTTATTGAAACATATAAAACAGATATACCTACCTTGAAGGCAACAGAAATGTTAATATTGTTTTAGCATATTCTCTTTCTGTTCCTCCTGACTTTCTTCCGAACCACAGAATACATTCTACATCAGATAGAAAGACAGTGACAGCTGATGATGATAAATACGATGATGCTGGTGGAACCTATAATAGTTAGAAATTCCAAGTACTTTACTTACATTGACTTTAATAACCTCCCGAATTTCAGGAAAGTAAAGCGCACAAGATGACGGCGTATGATGAGCAGACCTACTTTGGCAAACGTCTTAAGGTGATGATGACAGAATAGTAATTATTGGTGCCATTTAAAAATTCCGATATTCAAGCTTCCATGTCTTGGTTTTGAATTTCCCTGTCCTTTTAAATCATTCTTCCTACTTTTTGCCGAAGTTTTGCAAAGTTTGACTTACCTGTGAAACTCTCATGTTGCCCCCTTTTAGCTCTCTAACACTAAACATTTGTTCTTCATCTTTACCTATTTTAACTGTACTATCATACTATAAACAACAGATATATCAAGTTATTTTAACTGTACTATCATACTATCAACAACAGATTATATAAACAACAGATAAAGTTATTTTAGCTGTACTACCATACTATAAACAACAGATATATCAAGTTATTTTAACTGTACTACCATACTATAAACAATAGATGTATAACGTAATATTTTGAGTGAGATTTTTATGATTTTATTTTTACATCGTATTAGACAAATCTTTCATAAATATATTATGTAATGATATTACAGTGGCTGTAATATTTGTATAGCAAACAATACGGAATACAGATAAATATTAAAGACTGCACATAGTGTCGAAGTAATCCACCACAGCATATAATACACTTACCACTATCATACTATGTTGTAATGCTGCTAGAAAATGGGGTGATTCTTTGCCGTCAAGAATTCTAATCTGCAACAATTAATTAATTAAGCTCAATTAAAAAAACAAAGCTGCCATCTGCACAAGTGTCCGATATAAAATTTCTGGAATAATTTAGATTGGGACCAATAGCGGGGTTCGTCCACAATCCCACCCCACAATGAATGTAAGCGAAATACGTAATATAATGCATAAGTGTGTTCAAAAACATTTCCAAAACAGAACATAGATCATATTGCCTATATAGTTGTTCGCCGATCATTATTTCGCCGAAAAGCAGTTTTATTAAGTTGACATAAGTTCATGTCATATTATGTGATTGTTATTGATTTTGTTATTTATACAGAAGCTTACCACTGTTGCTGTATTTTGTAGAGAATAATTCATGGATTGACTCAATTTAACTGCTGATTGTTGTTCTTTTAAACTAGAATTTTTACCCTGTAAATAGTTATATACAATAAACTTAGAAATCTATTCAGGTGTATGTATTTGTTAGGCTACGCTTTACAATGACAATAAATTTTGTTATGCCTATAAACTTTAACAGAAAGTCGATTCAATTTTGAGAACGTTGTTCGTCAGGCCACTGTTTATTTAGAAAACACCAAAAGCTTGTGAAAGTTATATAATATATGTACTGTTTTTATAAACCTTATGATTATTTTCCTCAAGTAAGCCATTCTGTAATATAATACCGCGCGGCGTTATTAAATTATATCCATGTTTTTCGACTTACCAACCAGTAATATAATGTATGTCTTAATATTCCTGCTGTAAGTCTATGGTGTAAAACTAAATAACATGATCCATTTGTAAATATACCCTGTCTATCCCAAGGTACCGATTCTAAATTATCATCCATTATTTTCCATATCTAAAATTGAACGGATAGAAAGTGGTTTAACATCTTGTAAACACATAATTGGGATCCGTTTTTATCATGGCACCCCATCACTGAATTAGTCAAAAATAAAATTGTCGATTTCAAAGGGTTTTAGTTATTATTATCCATCTAATATTAATACTGAACGAAGGGATAAAGGATTGACGTCTTGTAAGCACATAATTTGAATCCCTTTAATGCCGCAATGTATTTGATTTGGTTTTAAAAAGTAGTATCGATGTCAAAGTTTAATATGTTGATTTGTTTTCTGGTATGACAACCCTTGTGTTCAAAATTTTATGCCCATAGATAAAGCCAACGTTTATGTATGTCGAAACAGTACACAAACAAAGCTTCCTTCAATTTTTCCAAACAGAAATAGAATCGTATAGAAACTGCCCCATTACAAATCGAAATTAAAACACCAGATCTCACACAATGCAATATTTTATTTTGCTATTCGACGTTAAATAGAAACGATTTATCAATGGGGATTTCATAAGCCATTAAAGTTTCTATTTTAAAGTCCATTCTCAAACTCAGCACCACAGCCAAATAGAAGAATTTGAGTTTATTGAACTGGTATGATATTTTGAAGTAAATATTATACAAGTCTATAATTATTTATTAAATTCTATTAAATATCTAACCTCTGTTGATTCTTCTGTTTCTTCTACAATATGTTTATCATCATTTATTATACCATCACTTCTTACATCATAATATGATCTATATTCTGATCTAGACGGTATGGTGCGACCTGCAACATTTACCAAATTAACCCAATTTTATATTTAGAAATGCTTTGTCTGGAAAGTAATGAGTTTTGCCAGGGCAACCAAATTAATGTTCCTTGGTCTTGTTTTTTTACATTTTCGTTATTATTTCAGTAAGGATTATCAAACGTGGTGTTATCCGTGATATTATCCTAACAATGGCACTACAGACTTTAAAACAAGCATTTAACTAAGATTTCTGGAATCGAAATATATATAGAAGATATTTGATATTATACAGAACAGATATTTTAATCTAGTACTAGAACAGGCTTAATTTTACTTCTCATATTAGTGGAACATTTGGAACATTTAGAACATATAATACTAGTACTAACTTCTACCATTGATAGTAGTAGAACATATATAGGTCTACATAATTTAACTTACTTTTTTTACTGATACTAGTAGAACATCTGGGTGTGTTTGCTGATTTGATATAATAATTATGCCAGTTAATAAAACTCTGCTTAAATTCGTCCGTTTCCCATCCCCCTTTAACTCTACACATCGACTTATGACTGGGATAGCTGTGGTAATTACTGAATATCTGAGAGTAAAAGAAAAACATTTGAAAAATTTATACATTTCAAATCGTTTCGAATGATAGGGCAAAAATGAAACCATAATTATTGGCGTAATGCTTAAATAGGGTGATGAAAGGGAGTGACATGAAAATAATTTTTACCATTCCTCTAGTAACTGCTTCAGCTAAATCGCGTGATGCTGCCAAATGACCCACCCAGACGTATACAGGTTTCTCCGGACCACGATCTAACAGGTAAGCATCCTGAAATTGAAACATAGTTCCAATAAACAATGCACAAGATGAAAATCATAAATCACAGTATGAATGCTTCATACGTTAAGTCCATGGAATGAGGTAACTGCTAATATGTATAATACGCTTTAGATAATTGTTTTAAGGTTGAAAATTAGACTTACTGTCCTGACCAAGTATTTTTGATCTAAAGGCTTTTTGGAAACTACTGGCATGTCATACAAAACTTTTCTCCCGCTTAATCTGGAATTAGAATTTATACAGAATTAGAAAATTTGCATTAAAGGATGACCTAAAATGGGCTGTGCTATATTTGGATCCTAAATAAATGACTTCTTACCTCAAACTTGTAAATTTTGGTATGAAGAAATGAAATGAAAAAAGGGTGTAACGTAGTACTTTTCTGTGGCGACTGGTTTAATGAAGATGGTGTGATAAGAAGAATTTTCGGGGAAAACTTGGTGTATACTGAATAAATGAAAATGTTCTCACCTGTGAAGAACAACTTTAGTTTGACTATCGTGGTAATTAGAACAGTCGATCGCTTTAACAGCTATATCACCCCTCAATCCTAGCTTTTTCAGAAATGATTTTTGTGCTGCTAAATCTGTAGAATCTGTAAATCATATACACACAAATGAAACTGCTTTGATATCTAGAATTATCATCAAATCCGACTATTGTGTAAATGAAATGCAGTAGTGGCTGACAGAAACATAATGCAAAAAAAAGTAATATGGCGTTACACAAACCAAAGGGCACTGCACTCTTGTAGCACTATCGTCGTTGCGACATTGTTTTTAAATTTATAGACAAAGAATAGAGAAATAAGATGACTTTATATTTCATTAATTAATATATTTGGCAAATTAATAGTTCCACACATATTCACATATTATATATATAGTGTGTACTAAATCAACCTAGTCTGTAATTGACAGTTGACACATAAAAAGAGCTATTTAGCCACGTGAGTGGAATTATTCTAATTGCACAGGTCCAGGGCCAAGAACAGACTTTCTAGGCGTGATATGCAGGAGTCTTATAAAAGAAATCATAGTAAAGTTTTAAGTTAGACTTCCATTAGATTCCAGAGAGGTTCCATCTGAGTTTCTAGACAGCCGCGAGGCTGGCTAGGGTCGAGAAATGGTTTTAGCTAGTATTGTAATCTGTGCCATGCTTGTATACATGTATTCGGCTATGCTATATAAAATGTAGAAGCGAACTGTTGCATTGTTATTCCTGGTAAGACAAACGTCTTAAGAAACTGTAAGAAGTAAATAGACAACGTGAAGCAGAAGTAAAGACAGCTAGAGACAAATTCTAGACGATCACTAGGCTACAGAAATATGTAGTAAGAAAAGATGCATGGGTCGTATGTAGGATGTGGCGACCGGTTTCAACGCCCGCTCTAAGCGTTCATTTTAGGAGGTCGGTACGTGTCTGCGATATCACTCTCGGTGACAGCGGACGTTAAACACTAAAAGAAGAAGAAGTGGTCAGGTGGTACTGTATTATAATACTAACCAATGACTACAATATGCACTTGCCCCTTTCTTTGTGTATTCCTCATTTTTCTTGCTAGGTCAATCGCCTGAAATTATCCAAATATCCAAACACTATATTACCTCAGGAAAAAAAATCACTTTACAATAACATCGGAAAAAGTAGTAATTCCAAGGAAACGTCATAACATTAAGGGAAGTAAGATGTAACTCACCTTTACTCTTGTAGGGTAAGGACACTGATCTCCAATCCAAACATAAAAACGCGGGAAACCATCCAATATAGCCGCTCCCAAGGAAGAAAGTTCTTCAACATACGGTTCGACCTGTACAAAAATATATAAATATTATCAGACAGTTATTCCAGTAATTAAACAAAATATTATATGATATCTGATCTGTTTAAGCTGACATTAAAATCAAAGTATCAGATAATTACACTATTTTGCTTTATTACACTATTTTGCCTATACCGTTTTTTTAGGACTTCGAATTTTGTCTAATGATTTGGATTGTTCGTACTTGGTTTTATTTTATAATTTCCATTGCTTGGATGTGAAAGGTTGCGTTGTTAACTTACACATTGGGCTCTAATGTAATCTCTTCCATCTATGGTATACAATCTTTTATGGTACTTGGCGGCTCGACGGGGAATAGTTATTGGATTCCCTTCAACGTATCTAGAAGAAATGAAGTTTCAAAGTTAAATCTAGAGTCTAGAGGTTGAAGACATTTGTCATACCGCATTAATTTTCAAGAGTCGTATTTCTAAAACTCAAATGAATCAAAAGTCATATTTCTAAAACAAAATGTGATTTTAAAAAAAAATCGGTCCAAATTATCTTAAACTCTGTTGATTTTATCTTAAACTCTGTTGTATCAATTCACTATGGCAGAGAACGCCACCAAGATACATTATGTAAGGGCTAAATCTCCCTTGTTTGATTTTGTTTATTATCGTAACAACCTTAGCAATGAAAATCGAGACTACTCTATTATTCAAACGACCATAACTTTGCACAAAAGGAAGTAATTTGGATGAAAATTTCCAATTAATCAATTTTCATTATTTATTTGTAAATTAATATAGCGAGAACTGTCAGCTCTTCATCTAATTCTTACACAATAAATATTTAATGCCTGTTTTACTTACACTAATCCTTCGGGAAACAATTTCATGAAACATGAAGACTCGTGGCCTTGAAACTAAAAAAAGTAAAAACATAAAGCTAAACTGATATGCATGTTAAGGGTTTACATCGATTCACAATGCTTAGCACAATTTCAGAACAAATCATGACTATTAAAGCTAAAAATGGAAACGACAAACAAGGGTAAAATTTATGATAAAAAAAGAAACCAGAATCTTCATATTTTAAAATAATTTTATATGGTTCTGTGAGCAATTTAGTAGACAATTATGGCATAGCACGAATTTATGAAATTAAACTTTTCTTAGATTTGTACAGGAATCTTACCTCAAATGAGAAAACATGCGCTCCACCAAAATGTTCATCTATTTGATTACATCTATCATGACCTCTGTCTTTATCAACCTACCAATAACCACATGCAAAAGTCTATATATTATACAATTTCTCTCAAGGCGGTTTGTTCATGTGGATTATAAACCAGAATCTGTCCACCACTCATAAAAATCTACATTTAATACAATTTCTGTCAGGGTTGATCATGTGAATTATAAACAGCAATCTGTACACCACTAACATTAGCTGTATTGATTTTGTAGTCAATCAGGTAAGATTAAAATTGTTACTGGATGAAATAAAATCCAGCAATTCTCTTACCTTAGTAGATAATCTCCCTCGCCAGTGATGTAAATATGCCGAACCATCATCATCAATCTGAAACAAGAATACAGATATACCAACTTTATCACCCAATAACATATTCTATAACGTATTCCATAAGTATGTGTTTTGTTGATATTCTATAAAGTAAATATCGTTTGTGTGATAACTTTCATATTACCCGAGCCATAGGAGATATCACTTTACATGAATATGATTGGTCAATAAAAAAGGATGGAAAGGATCGAGTGATAAATAAAATCTTCTACTCGTTTTTTTTTTTTTTTTTTTTGTTTTTTGGGGGTTTTTTTATATAAAAAGTATTAACACTCGTCGATAGAGTAAAAATTCCTCGTTCTTTTTTACATTATCGACATGTGTTGATATTTTGTGTTATAGAAAAGACGAGTAGGAGATTCTCTATTTATCAATGCGGGGTCCATCCAGTGAGTATGGAGTATGGCGCTGGCTCACTAACACAGAGGTCCCGAGTTCAATCCCGATGCTAGCCGAGATTTTCCAGTAGGGTTTCAATTTGGCAGTGGTGCCGGACGGAGCGTCAAGCAAGGAAAGGCGTATTTCCGCCTTTATGGTTCAGACAATTAGCAATCGCGTGAGTTTTTCTAAAATAACGGTCTGGGTGCATGGTACTAGGCATTATACTGGACCCTTACCTTCGGGAACACTCTTTATTTTTCTGACAAATGCTTAGCTCAAGATCAAAACTATATGAGGCCCGCACAACCCCGATATAAGTACAAATCGTCGGGGTCGATATTTGACAGTAGGATTTCAGAAGCTCAATATAAACAAGTAAACTTTTATATTAACACTTGCTCCATTATTATGATGACACAAAAATATTATTAAAATAATATATCTGTAATAATATGTACATATTTTATAATAAAGGAGCTAAATCTCTATTCTTTAGCACCTAGAAATGAACATAGATGGGTCACAACACACACAATAATGTAATATGAATGTATAAACTGATTTACATTCAATCGAAATACGCGAAGAGTCTAAATTGAATGCAGTCTTTGACGTCTGGTTATTCTAGTTTACACCGGTAGTGTTTATCCTCGTTCACTGAGTCGCTTTATTACAAATGGCGCTCAAAAGCATTCTGGCACGCGATTCTTGTGTCAATTTTAAAATTTTCATATTGTCTTAAATCATAAACAGTTAATATGGGCGGCTTATCTGACGGCCCAATTTCACTCGCAAAGAGATACTCTGTCAAAAGTGAAAATGGACGTTTTTGATTTTTGTCTTAAAATGAGTAATTGCTCCACCAATCCTCAGACATTCAGCAATTTGTCGTGGCATGCTCCTAATCAACCGTCCAATCACGATTTAGGGCAATCTGAACCACTCCCCTTGCAGTGCCACGGCCAATTCTTGCAGTGTTGTCGGTCGACGTTGACGTCGAAGAGCACGTCTCCCGATCATGTCCCAGACATGCTCTATAGGGGAAAGGTCAGGACTCATGGCTGGCCAAGGCATATGGACAATATGGTGACACTGGAGGTAGTCATTTACAACACGAGCGCGGTGGACAGGGGCATTATCATCTTGAAAGATGAAACGTCGACCTGAACGTTGAGCAAATGGCAGAACTATCGGTGCTAGGATGTGGTCACGATAGTACACACCAGTGACCCTTCCTTGAACAATATGCAAGTCCGTTCTGCCAGTCATGGCGATTCCTCCCCACACCATAAAAGATCCACGACCGAATATGTCATGCTGTCTGACATTAACGTTAACGTGAAATCCAGAGTAAATCTGGACTCACCTGAGAACATTACACGCGCCCATCGACGATTACCCCAATTTTTACGCTGCCTACACCATTGACGCCGTTTGCCATGTGCTGGCGAGTTAAGGGGTGGCGAGTTAAGGGGGGCACGACATGCGGTCGTCGCGCATGCAAATGGGCTGCATGTAGCTTATTTCTAATTGTTTGGGGTGTAACTCGAATTCCGGTAACTTGGTACAAGTTTACAGAAAGCTGATTGACCGTTTGTCCTCGATTTCGCAGGACCTGTGTACTAATGTATCGATCCTGGGCTTGTGTAGTGGCTCTAGGGCGACCCGAATGAGGTCTATCATCAACATTGTGTGTTTGTTGGTACCGGTTCCACAGTCTGTTGATCACAGACTGTGACACATTAAGCATGTTGGCTACTGCTCGCTGTGTAGAACCCATTTGAAGAATGCCAATAGCACGTAGACGTTCATCATGTTGAACACGTTTCATTGCAAATTAAACGTAACACACTAAACCGCGTGCAGCTCAGTGGTTCTGTTGGGGCGATAAGTTCTGCATCTGTGAACATACTCTCAAAGCATGTCAAGTGTCCATGACTATTTATCATATCACAACATGCATATTTGCATTTCAATATCCCCTACTTTTTTTTTAAGAGTATATATTACTATAGTGTGTAACTCGTACTATATTTATATGTTATAAACTATGATAGCACACGACTATTAGTTACCGTACACGTATTTAATACATAAACATATTCAAGTATGTTTATTTAAGTTATTGAAATGAAATGAAATGAAATGGGGTTTCACGTTATACTCAGCGACACCAACTGGTCTAATGAAGATGGGCCGTATGCAGTATGCTATTATTATGGTTCGAATTCCAATTGCTCGGGGTTATTTTACGTGCAAGCCAACTTGTACACTGGATCTGTCCAATCCGAAAGACTAGATGTTGTTCCTTGATATGACCTCCACCGGAAAAGCCGAAAGAACTTTCTCGGCCAACACCAGGAGCGAACCCGATACCTTCTGGTTAGCGATGCAGCACCTAACTCATTCGGCCACAGCGGTCCTGAAAGTTATTGACGATATAGAATATGCTGATCATGGAACGAATATCATGCAGTTTAGATTATTTTTAATTTCAGCTGAAGTGGCGGACCGAGTTCACATCCGCTGACAACTAAATACTTTTAATACGTAACCTTCTCTCACAAGGATTTATTTGCCGAGTTAGTGGTATCCTACCTTCGAATTAAAAGCTAACAGAGATTAAATCTGTAAAATCAAACACCAAGCCACAACGCTTAAGAACTGTGATTAACAACTAATCACGATATCGGAACCATTTACATCAAACTAAACTGTAGCAACCAGGCGTAAATAATGAAGTTAAAGTTCTATTTATTTTACCTTCAATAAAACATACACCGCTTCTTCATGAAAGAAACCGTGATCATTCTCTTTAACTGGTTCCAAGTCATTGCTCTACAAATATAACAATGCAATAAGTACATAATATCTGAGTATGTTCCTCAAACTAAGAAACCACACTTAAGCAAAACAGTGGTACAGATAAATCCTCGCGCCATCTTGACCTTTATATTCATGGATAGAAGCCAGTTATTTTTTTTCTAGCTAACTGACGTTTTAAGACATTCTGCAGTAGATCCATTTACTTGATACTTCGAGAATAGATAGCTGTCCTGAATAGCCGCCATATCCAACAATTAGTGTATATTGTCTTGTAATGTGGTCCTATCCTGGTTCTATTCTGTTATACACAAAATGACTAATTAAACCTTTTCAATTTGATTAAATGAAAGAAGAATATATACTTCTCAAAACTCTCGAAATATACTTACGTGTTTTCGACTAAAATCGTCGATTTAGGACTTAAAGTGTCGGTCGACTAGCTGAGTGCCTGTTCTCAAGCGGAGCTAGCTGTAGACAGAGAGCGTAAGTTTAGTATGGTTCTAAGACGAGAAAGATGACGTCATGAAATCAGTGAAGGTAATTGGAACTTTAGCAAACCATAACTTACGTTAGGATTGGGCGATTTTGGTCTAAATAAGACTGCTTTTTATTGTGTCTTTAATATCAAAATTTAATACTTACATGTACTCGCCATATGTTTAATCCTGGTGTATCGACACTATCAAAGATGGTGTCCAGATTCATAATTTGAACAGAATCACCACTGTCACTGTAAGACGACGACTCGTAATTATACGCCTCACCTGCAACAATATACACATCAAGTAAGTCGTTTAAAAAAAAATAAAAATATACCAACTAAAAAAAATAAAAATATACCAACTAAAAAAAATAAAAATGGCCTGTTATCACTAGAAATTGATTCAGTGGTGATATTTATTTTGTTTGGCACAGTATTTGATGATAAATTGGCAATTATTGAATATTTCGTTATTATGGATGTTTCAAAAATGGAGATAAACTAATGCCGGGTAACACGGTTAGTAATCTATAAAAGATAAAGTTTCTAGATATAAATAGTAAGAGACAAACCCGCGTCGCCATCAAAATATTGAATCGTCTAAACAGACATAAGACAACTGTAAAACACCAGAATGACATCATCAACAACTGCTCGTAGAACAGTATAATCAACAGCTACTACAGAACATTATCATCAACAACTACCTACGAACCAGTATCATCAACATGTATCAGAACTTCACCTTCCCCAAATAGCTGCCATAACTGTATCATAAAGAATTATCACGGAACAGCAGTGTCAATAACTACCCATTGAACAATATCATTAATTACTAAATGTACTTACATAACAGTACCATGGACAACTACTATCAGAACATCAACATCCACAACTGTTATATCACAACAGCATTCTCAACAAATACCCAGAGAACAGTATCACCAAGAAGGAAGGCATCATCAACAACTGCCTACAGATTAGCATGGCCAACAACTAATAATTCGACAACATCATCAACAACTACCAGCAGAATAGCTTAGTCAATAACTTCAATGCAGCAGCATAAGAAAAAAACATCTAACGGTTTTGTGATTCTAAAACCGTACACTGCAGATTCTTCCCAATACAGACATTACAACTTTTTAATATTTAATACAACGGCCACTGACACTTACCTCAGAGCACGTATATTTTGAAAATCTGTTATGATTTATGTTCTTATTTCCAGTCTACTTATAGGACATATTGGTCCTTTCCTATCTGTAGTAGGCTATATACCTGTACAATTACAATACTTTTAATCAAGCTACACGTCTTGTCAGGTGTAATTAACCCAATCATAACCTCATTCATCACATTTGACCATGCGTCAACACACATCAGGGATCAAACAAGGCGAAATAAAATACTTTATTATGATAAGGTTTAATCTAATCTTTATTATATATAGCATGTAATATAAACTGTATATCAGATAATCCACTACTATTCCTCAATTCTTTGGTTACTTGCTAAACCTTCTTATTTTATTATTTCGTTTAAACTGATTTCGAATTAAAGTTTAGATAAATAAATAATTATACAAGTGGTGTAATTTGTCGTCTTTCGCAAGGTTCATCGGGGGCGGGGGCGGTTGTTCTGTGATTTACATTTTCTCGAACAGAAACCAAAAAGAATTTATGTGTGTCTTTGGTGGGATATACTGAAATCTTTGACTATAAATGATGCTTTATAGGGTATTATATCCCGAGTACCAAACCTAACGTGAGAACATTAACTTCTTTATGGGTCCCCGGGCCTACCACTCTCGCAAGGTTCCTTTAAGTCCATCCTTTGGGGTGGGGGTGAGCTGCACAAAACTTTGGATGCCAATCGATAATAGGCAACTTTGACTAAATACCTTTAATCGCACATATCTTAAGTGTTCATTATTTCTTCCTTGTAATTCAAAGCTCGAGATTTTCCTAAACCCAAATCCCTTAATCGAGCCTCTGATTGTCAACACGATTTCACATAACCGACAGTTTTGTATGATTTAATTTGTTTCAAGATATATAGTAAACAAATGGTCTACAATGTAAACAGATAGGAATCAATCAGGGATTAATAAGTTTAGATATTCACGTCCACAATCTGGAATGGATTGATAGTCTGTGAATTATTCGTGGAAATCGCCTTTGTTTTGTTTAGTTTTCCTTTGGTTACGTTTTCAATGCAAAATAGAATACCTTTAACCGGGCAGTGGCATTTCTGTCGCCAATATGGACACAGCAATCTCAATAAGAATGGGTCGTAGTTCGAGGGGGGAAAGGGGTAACCTTATAGATAAGTGTTCAAAGACACCAACTCGCGCATTTCTTTTAATTTGATCACAAAGAAATAAAAATTAGAATCACTAAAAAAATTCCTTTTTAAAAATTTTGAATGATTAGGTCTACCTTTTTGGGACAGAAGGTGTCATGAGTGACACACTCTACCATTTTATACCTGTATTTCATAGTATTTTGATTTACTACACAATAAATAACAATCCATTATTTGTTTTGGTTACAAACACTATATGTGTATGTACATATTGAATATTTGTCATACGTGTATATAGACCCATTCAGTGTTTGTCTTGACAATAAAATAACACCTCAAGCATCATTAGACAAAGTTCTATTCACGAACAAAAACATTTCAAATCTTATTGTGGTAATTCATATCTTTGTATTAATATATCATCTTGGAAGGGATCAGAAACAATAATATAGGCACTGTTTGACCTGTCTTCATGGCGTGACCTTCTGAATATATTTTAAAAAATGATCAGTTAAATTAAATAATAATAATAATGGTCAAGCTTCATTAGTTTTATTCTTGAATAAATATTTTGGGAACGCCTTTTAGATTAATGGGGCATGTCGTCATATATATATATATAAATAATAGCATTTCATATTAACATCGTTGGGAGTGCAATACCATGCATAATAAGTGGGCCAATGTTGTGATTTGGGGGTGATTAATAACAGAAATAATTCAATCACATGCAATTCCAGTGTATTGTTATTTTGTGTAGGCCAATTAAAAAGACCGCGTCACTCCGACCAGGAAAATATATTTAATTAACTCTGCATAATATTAAGATCTACTTAGTGTACGGTGTTTTCACTAGAAGATTTGTCAAATTTTGAATTCAATGTTACTACAGGCAAATCACGGCAAATCAAAAGCTATCTTTTACAAACTGGTAGGCGTGATTATATGTGCCCCTTTACTCTTATCGTGTTTTAGATTGTTTGTTTATCAAAGGAGACGCTTATGAGCTATAACGAAATGAAATGAAATGGGGTTTAACGTCCTACTGTTCTGCTCCGACTGGGCTAATGAAGCTATAAAATCAGATTACAGTTTGCTGCCACCGGAAGAACAATAATGATGTCACTGTCGATTCCAGGTCTGAGATATATCTGAAAATCCACACTTCGACATAACTGTAAATTAGTATAAATATATATGTATAATTCGTACCTGATAGGTTTACAGCTATATATTTTTTTTTCTTTTAAACACCTATCTCAAGCAGATATTTACGGTTTAATCCCACTGTGCCCCCCAATCAACTGGTGTTATAGGGTAGTGGTGTGAAAATTAAGTAAACAAAGGATTATAGACTGTATCCTTATTAGTACTGTTCACCTAGTTAAAATTTAATTATTTTAATGATTAAAATATATAAGTTAAGTTCACGTGTCATCGGTTAACGAGTATCTTAAATATTATTCACCTACCTTTTATTCCGACAGTACTCATAAATCAATCAAATATATGATTAGAAACTCACTATCATTATATAAGGATAGTTGTCACCCCCAATTACATTATATCTTTTAAAATGGCTCAAGTTCGCATAGGGTTTATTCCTAATTCTCAAGGAGGTCAAAATTTAGTTAATTTGGGGTATAAGTACAGAGTAAAAAATACGAAACCCAATAGCACCAGCAGACTTTTACTGAAAATACAATAGTTCAATTGGATAACGGGGGACGATTGCCCCCTAAAAGACGAAAATATAAAAGAGTAGAAGAATCTATTAATGATCTAAAAATCAAACTGTTAAATGGAGTAAAAAGTGCAATTGAATATACTGACGCCATATCACATTTAGTAGGGTTATGATTTATGTTTGATACATGTATTTGTTGTTACTTTTATGAAATTTATTGTGAATAAAGTTGTTAATTAGTTTAAACCTAGTAGTTTAAAAAAACAGACTATACTTTTAACACCATTGTATTCGATAATCCCCTTGCTTGATTAATCCCCCCATGAGAACAATAGCAGGGGGCACAGTGAGATGTCCCCATATTTACAACCAAATAGCCGTTTTAGGATAATTTGTTTTGATTGTAATAACTGATATGAATAATCAATCGAGTCAAGTGTTGTATTATAATAGGTGATATTTAATCCTCGGATTAAGGCAGAAATCCACTTAATGAGTTTATAACGTGTTTATAACTGGTGAGACTATATAAACGTTTGTGAACAAATATAAGATTGTATTCTATTAATGCCCTTCAAATACTGTGACAAAACAAGCGTAGACGTTTTGTAGATGTTGGGGGTCTCAGTATCAGTGTTTTATAAAGGCGGTAAAACTAAAAGTGAAGCAACATGATTAGGTCTTGGTTGTCAAGTCTTATAAAATATGTTCCATATGAAAACAAGGAACCAAATAAATAGATAAGTATAGCTGATGCAGTTTCATTCGAGTTTCATAGAACGTCGCCTTATTTGTCGTAATAATTCAGTTTTTACCAAGAGTGGAACATTTTTTTTTAAGGCGACGAAGGAACTAGGCAGGGGCACCGGAACGGCGCGAGGGCCAGGGTACCAAAAGATTGGGGGGGGGGGGTCTCTCCCCCCTGTCTCTAGAAAATTTTGAAATTTGTCAATTCCGAGAACGCTGTTTAGAGTGCCTCTAGCATTCCAAATTCCAACATAAAACCCTTTAAAATACATGATAATGAAAGAGACAAAAGCCTGATTATTCACAATTTTCGTATCATGAGAAATTCATCTCATAAAAAAATCTTTTTAATTTGACATTGAATACACAAATCTTCATTAAGAAAATAGAGACACGATTCTTGCAAGAGCTTATATTCAGGAGCAAGTGTTGACGAGACACTATAATGAGACTATAATCGACCGAAATATAATCAATTTCACAATCAATTCAGATATTTTCACAATGTCTATTTCGTCCATTCTCAACTTGTGAATTTTGGC